CCTAACCATGATATAGAGTGGCCCACCAAGGTCTTAAGGTTGGACGTCGCCTGTTTTAAGAGAGGGGAGTAGTTTAGATTATATGTTTGGGAGACATCCGCAGGGAGATTGGTGCCAAGATAGTGGATGTGTGTTAGGTTGTAATGGAATGAGTAGGTGGCTTGAAGTGAGGACATCGTGTCCTCAGGGATTTGAACCGGTAGTGCTTCAGTTTTGTCCAGGTTTAGGCGGTAGCCTGAGACCTTCGAATAGTCGTCTTGGGCGTGTAATAGTGGTGGGAGTGAGCGTGTCGGTTCCGTGAGGGTTAGGAGGTCGTCGGCATAGCCCACTACCTTGTATTCCTCCCTCCGGATGCGTATGCCCGCGATGTGAGGGTCTAGTCTTTGGGCCTGGAGGAGGAGTTCCAGAAATAGTGGGAACAGGACCGGAGAAAAGGGACACCCCTGTCACGTACCGTTAAAAATGCGGAATGAGGGTGGGTGTGCATTCGAGATAAGGAAGTTAGCCTCCAGGGTAGAGTACAAAGTCTTAAGCGCATTGTGGAAGGCTTGAGGGAGTCGAAATTTGCAGAGGATTGCAAATAGGAAGGGCCATAAAAGGCGATCAAATGGGGCGTCCAAGGACAGGCAGAGTGTAGGTATCTGTCTGTGTGTTGCTACCCAGAGTAGATCAAAGGTCCGTCTCGTGTTATCATATGCCTTTCTGGATGGAATGAAATCTACTTGGTCCCGGTGAATGAGTTTGTGTAAGTAGGGGTTTAATCTGTCCGCGAGCTGTTTCGTGAACAGTTTAATGTCGACGTTCAATAAGGAAATTGGCTCGGCCCTATCTGGGGTTTATTAGGTTTAGGGAGGAGGCAGATGTTTGCTGCAGCATGTCTGGAGGCAAAGAGTTCCCTGGAAGCATGGAATTAAAGAGATTGCAAAGGTGGGGGAGCAATAGTGCGGGAAAGGTTTTGTAATATAACCCTGTGATTTCGTCCGGTCCCGGGTTCTTCTTGGGTTTGGTGTTTTTGATGGTAACTTGGGAACAGTTAAGATTACCCTTATGCCCTGATTATAGTGTATTTGTATTTTGACTATATTATTTTTATATGTGACTTTTTTATGTTTTATTTTATATGTTTTTATACTATTTTGGGAAATATACCCTATTAATAAATAACCTTTACAAATATACCTTGGGCCAGTGGTTTTCTGCTTATGGGCATGTAGTCCTGACACTACACAACGCGCTGAGATTGAGCCTTTGGTACGGCTCCACGTTTGTGAGTATATTCCTATAAATATTATACTCCATCCTCCAGTACATAAGATACTGCACCATATTTGTTTTTTCTGCTCCAGCCCTAATACAGGATTACATGAAAATTACTACAACAAAGAAGGAAAAGGTCGCCTTTACTCCTGAGCTAGGCATTTAGCTTGTGTAAATGTGAGTGGTTCCATATATATACACTCACTTTTATTTTGTACTTACTATTTTACACTATTGGAGTCCTCTGTTCTTTTTTCCTTTCCTAGGTGTTTTTTGTGAAATTTTTGGAATAACTACCAGTATAATACTAGTTAAGTATATTTTATTCATGTATTGGATATCTTTATAAGCACTACACCATTTTGTTTTTTCCTTGTTGTATGTTATTTGGTGTCTATGGGAAGGATACACTTGGTGTTATAGCGGCTACTTTCTACAGATTATATTTATCAATTTCTAGCGCCGGTATACCTTTTTTTGCATTTTCTCTTTTTAATGGTTTTACCTATTTCTTCCATAGAGGTGGGTTTTGCTCAGCTTAGTGATTGCCTCCGAGTTTAGGGCTGGTAGGGGGATGGCATGAAGATATTTCTCTATGGATTGTAGTGTCGTCGCTGGTCGTTGTCTAGAGGCGAGACTATGGTCATATAGGGTGGCAAAGTATTTCTGGAAAACTTCACCGATTTTTGTGGGAAGAGAGTGGGTGTGTCCGTCTGGGGTCTGTATTTTGTCAATGCATTTCTGGTCGCTCCTGTGCTTCAGTTTCCTTGCCAGTAGGGAATCAGCTTTGTTGGAATTTTTGTAATATGTCTGCTTTGACCATTGGAGAGTTCTCACCGAGTCCTTGGCCATGAAGTCCTTTTGTTGTTGTTGTGTTAGTCAGTCAATTGTGTCAGCACGTCTGGGATGGGTTTTGTTTGTGGCGGGTTTCAAGAACCCTAAGGTTTGTGAGTGACTCTGTCAGCTGAGATTTTTTTGTGTGGACGCTAGACTGATCAGTTTCCCCCTAAGTACGCACTTGTAAGGTACCCACAGTATTCCCGTTGAGGATGCAGAGGGTGCAATGAGAGTAAAATAGTCTACTATGTCTTTGTTGATGGAATCTTTTAAGATAGGGTTATGGAGCAGGTTTGGGTTCAGTCTCCACTACCATGGACGAGCGTTGTTAGGAATTAATATGGTCCGACCAGGAGATGGTTCCAATAGAGGCTGCCTTGACCATATGCAGGAGGGAGGGGGTAATTAAAAAGAGGTCTATCCGGGGGAGTATGAATTGTGTTGGTGTGAATAATACGTATAGTCCCGGGTAGACAGTTGCAGCATCCGCCATGCATCCACCAAATGTAGGCGCGAGGCGAAGGACTGGAGCAGTTTGTCCAATTTGGTCGAGGGTACTGAATGTTGGTGGTGGTGGTGTGGGCAGTATCTGTCCACTGATGATGAAATTGAGGCGTTAAAGTCTCCTCCGATAATCTTATAATGGGCCAGGAATATGGCCAAATGCACGTGTAGTAGGTCCCAGAACATGTTGTCTGGGGTGTTTGGGGCGTATATCGAGGTGATAGCATAATTGTTGGTGCCTTCCTGACTGGAAAGTGTAATGAACCTTTCCTGGGGGTCCTTAATAATCTGTTTTATGTGCAAAGGGCAGGTTTTGCATACCAATATGGCCACCCCATTTTGTTTGCTTGTGGGAGAGTTTTCTGTATGGCATTCACAGTAGTGTTCGCTTAGGAGGGGCAATGGTTTGGATTGAGTAAAGTGGGTTTCTTGTAGGAGCACCGAATCAGCTCCAGTTCAGTTAGCCCATCTCATAAGCTGATGCCTCTTAGGGTTTATTGAGACCTTTACAGTTAATGGGCACGCATGTCATCTCAGAACCCATGCTAGCTGGTCGCGACTTAATGGGAGTGTTGCCTACGACAGGTCCCCCCTGTCAGAGCCGTGAGGGGGGAGTTGCGTGACAGGGAGTTGCAGTAGTTGGGAATTGGATAGGCAAGGGGAGGGTGGGGAGAGAGGGAGTCAGAGCAAGTCTGGAGGGTAGAGGGGGTTGGTAGAATGCCCCTGGGGATGGGGAGGGATGGGTTCTCCTGGTCTTACATTTGGGTTGCCAGGGTATGCGGGGACGGAGGTTGAGGGAGCCTTGGGGGTGGATCTCAGAGTGGCCCACTCTGAGTGGTGGACAAGTTCCTTATCTCTGTATCTCAAGAATTCTTACTATCATTCCAATCGGCCTAGATCTTCAGCATTATCTCAGAAGAGAACTTACAATTCGTGCCCTACCATTTGGCCTCACTGCAGCCCCAAGAACCTTAGGTGTGCTTATAGTGATATTGAGAGTCCAGAACACCACCTTGTTCCATTATCTGGAAGATCTACTACTAGTAGCCTCAGACCCACAGAAGGCAGGCGCACAGAGGGATAGAATTCTTTTAGAACGCTTGAAGTTTGGTTGCGTGATGATTACCAAAAAGCGTAGTCTCATGCCAGCTCAGAGGATGACTTTTCTGGGTGGAGTATTCTATACTCTGTGTTAAGAACCTCAGTGGTTATGGTACTGAGTTCTTCTATTCCTTTCCCAATAGCTGAGCATAAGTGACTATAGCTGCAGTTAGAGTGTAGAGGAACAGTGTAGATGAATGCAGCTTCCAAGATGATTCTCCCCAGCAAATCAAAGGTTACCCAAGCATGAGCCTAGACTTCATGAAGGGTACACCAGGAATAATTTTTTATTGATGCCACACTGACTTTTATAGAAATCCTCTTGCAAGAGGACCTCCCACAGTAAACAAAAGGAACAACCAATCATAGTACAGATCAACAGTAAAACACTCCCTTTCTCTGCCTGGGAGATTCTGAGATAAGTTAAGGAATAACAAAATTATCTCCAGGCAGAGAGCACACAATTTCCCCAAAACTTGGAACACCCCTTTATACAACAGGAACCCCCTGAATTAGCCCTGATCTGGGAGACCAACATATTCAAATTTCACCCAGAACGGTTCAGGGGTTCAGAAAATGGCATAAAAACTAATAAACACATGAATTGAGCCTTCTGGCTCATAGAAGCGATTGCTCCCCTTGTTTGACTGAATCAAACTACGGAATGGCGCTCTCCTAGCTGTTTGGCAACAAAAGGAAGCAGGCGTTCGTATGTTTCAGCGGTGGTTTTTAGTTCCAGACACTCGACGACCAAGTCCCGCTGCCTTCTTTCATGCAAACAAGATGGCTGCCATTTTTCTGTTCCACGTGGCATTCGGCTATACGAACGACGGCCGCCCAGAGAGCGCTTAATAGACGTTCTTTTGAAGTTAAATGAGCCAGGAGGGTGGTCGGTGTTTAAAACTACCGAACCAATAAATTCAAAATAAACGAAATCTTGCAGAAAGTCACGAATACTAAAGAAAATACAGAAAATCTGTTTATTTTCTTCACACTCTGCTTTCCCCTATCCCAGGAACAGTTCCACAGATGTTGGAAGTTTTCTCTTCCAGTTTCTTCATTTTCGCTTGGTAACAGCAAGAAGTAGATGCAACTACTAGGAATCCTGTCTTACACCATCAGAATTGTCAGATGGGCTCAATGGCCTCTCAGGATTCCTCAAGGGTCCTTCCTTTCTCAGTTCAACAAGAGAAAGATGACTTAGAGTCAGCCACTGATGATGTCACCATCAGTGAAGTTACACCTTCTCTGGTAGCTGAAGGAGAGAATTTGTCTCTGGGTTTCCTATGAACAGAACTTGGGCAATTGTAAGCTCAGATTCCAGTTTTCAAGGATTGGATACACATTGTCTGGACCATGTTACGCAAGGTCTGTGGATAAGGGAAGGAACAATATTTCCATCAAAGGTTATGGAATGTCATTTTCAGGGCTCTTCTTCACTTCGGAAGGTTGTTGAAGAACAAGTGGGTCAGTATTTGATCAAATAGCAATGCAAATGTATCCTATATCAATTGTCAAGGTGGGTGTCACAGCCACTTATTGATGAAGCAATTACAGCCCATGATGAGCAGGGCACAGGAGAACAACCAGGGGTGCAGGATACAATGGCTGCTTACCTGAGCCAAGTAACAGTGGTCAAGGTGGAATGGCAACTTTGTCCCGACATATCCTCAAGGTTGACTCAGATTTGGCTGATACCCTATGTAGATCTGATGGCCACTTTTCGGAACTACCAGATCCAGAAGATTTTGGGTTTTTTTTTCTCGTTTTTAGGACCAGAATGCTCAAGGTCAGGATACGCTCACTCAAATTAGGAATTTCAGTCTGATGTACACATTTTTCCTGTCTTCAACATTACTAAAGGAAATTCAAAGGAGACGGTGGAAGGCCACAAAGACTCTAAACTCCTATGATGAGTAAGATGAATCTGGAACCTCCAAGGAATATTCCAGTATGTCCAGACCTGTTACAGGGTCCCTTGACACACCAAGATCCTTAAGCTCTGGTGTTGAGGCTGGTGTCTCTAGAAGTATAGGCATCCCTGACACGGTCATTAAGATCCTCTTCCAGTCCTATATATACTTTACGGATTACAAATTTGGCATGCATTTGTCTGTTGGTCTCAAGAATATAGGTTGGAATTACTCCTCAATCAGGCCTTGATATGGTCTGAATTATAGCACTCTAAAAGAGCACAGATTGGCACTTTACACATGGATGGGTACCCATTGAGCATTGGAACCCCTGGTGCTTTGCTTCATGTAAGAAGCAATTAAATTCAAGCCTGCACTGAGGGTGTTGAAGTCCATATGTGACGTACCTCTGGTCTTACAGGCTTTGACTAAACCACCATTCGAGCCTCTAGCAGGAGCTTCCATGGTGTCAGCACAGAATGTGCTGTTGTTGGTGGCTGGTACCTCAGCAAGGTGAATGTGTGAATGTGAACTCCATGCCTAATCCTGTGTACCTCCATTCACTAATTTTCAACAGGATATGGTTGTCTTCCATTTAGCATCAGAATCCTGCCTAAGGTGAATGCTTATCAATGTCATTATCTACTTGTACTGCAGGATACCCATTGAGTATTGGAGCCTCTGGTGCTTTCCTTCATGTAAGCAGTAATTAAACGCAAGCCTTCACTGAGGGTGTTGAGGTCCATTTATGACCTACCACTGGTCTTACAGGCTCTGACTAAACCATCATTCGAACCTCTAGCAGGAGCTTCCATGATGTTTGCACAGACGGTGCTAATGCTGGTGGCTGGTACCTTAGCAAGGTGAATGTGTGAACTCCAGGCTTGATCCTGTGTACCCCCATTCACTGAACTTCAACAGGATATGGTTGTCTTGCATTTAGCACCAGAAATCCTGCCTAAAGTGAGAGCTTTTCAATGCCATTCTCTACCTGTACCAAAGGATTTTGGGGTACTCTCCACTAATGCAGTTGCAGCATTGTGGGCTTCCATGGCAATGGTCTCTGCTGAAACTTTGTAAAGTTGGCATTTAGACCTCTTTGAACTAGTTTGTTCTGCATTACATATTGGACATTGAAGCAATCAGTGAGGCACGACGTCACGTCCTTAACTCAGTTCAATCTTCTAAGCTATGTTGAATTGTTCTAATTATTTGATTGCCAGTTATGTATGTTTCTGTCCCTCCCTGGTAAACGTGGGTATTCCCATGTGTATATGCTGCCATGATTAGCCAGGAAAGTGGAAAATGTATTCATACTTAACATAATTTTCTTTTCCTGGCTATTATTCATGTCAGCATACACTACCCACCCAGTGTTGGTTTTGCTTCCTCTGTAGGAGCCTGTTACTGACTGAGGGACCTATGTAGGGAAATGTCTTTTAAATGTTTGTTTTATTCCTGTCCTATCGGCTGTAAAGGGAGGAGCTAACCCATGTGTATATGCTGCCATGAATAATAGCCAGGAAAAGAAAATTACGGTAAGTATGAATACATTTTCCACTATATTTTTAGTTTTTCCTACTTGTTTACCTCCATTGGTCACTTTTTACTTGATCCGCATTTTTTCCATAAATTGTCTCTTTCTTTGGCACAATGGACAGAAATTTGAATCATGAAACAAATAAAACATTTCATCCACTGTCCATCTAGTTTGTTTCATGATTTATACATATAGCAGTTCTGAGTTTAGATTTAGATCACAAAATGCCCAAAGTTTGGACAAATCACAGTTAGTTTCCAACCGAATGCACAAGTCTAAACTTTTTCAATATTTTACAAGCAGGCATTTAGCCACCAACTTAATACATGTACTGTCCACAAAATATTACTACTTATCTATCTGTATATTACCCAATTAGCTGCTCACATAATGTGCAATTTAAATTACAATATCATAAAAAAGTTTTAATTTAAACATAATTTAAAAATCATCTATTGACAGCATTTACTTAGATTTATCCAAAGTTCAGTAATATTTTGAAATAATAGCAGTAAGTGACCTGTAAACATAAAAAAACACGTATAACTTGTGCTGTACTAATCTTGTTTAAAAAATGTTATTTGTGGGCTTTAGAGACAAGACGGTTCTTGGCAAAGCCAATTTTTGTCTCTGTAACACAGATCTTATTGAGAGGCTATGTCAAATGATACTATTCTCACATGTGACTGTCTGTTAAAGCAAGCACATGCGCAATATTGGCAAGCAACGTGTTTGTATATTAACTGTTTTAACCCTGTAATAGTTACATACACTGAGTTAGTTAGATACAATGAGAAGCTGGTGATCACTTGCTGTCCAATGACATGTCAA